ATATATATTCAGCCTTTTTGGGTATTTTTCTTGAATATGTTTTTTTTTTTTTGTTTTTTTTTGTTTGTTTTTTTTTTTTTTACAAGTATTCCTGAAACAAACAAAAAACACACTAAACATACTCAAAAAAACAGAAAAAACCCTGTAGACGGTTGTAAAAAAAAAAAACCAATTTGACAAACACTCCTTTTTCTTCATTTCTGTCACATCCACTTGGGGACTGAGAATGCCTCGGGTGTGTCATTCATCTGCTGTCTCGTAGAATCAGATGGATATGGCAAATCCACGATCTCCTTCGAGGCATCGTAATATGTTCATAATATCCAGCTTTAGATAATGATCATACAGGGAACTTTGTCTTCCAATAATACATCAAAGCGGGCTTGGACACCCAATGCTCATTTAGGTTTCTTATTAATGAGTGTTGCCACATAATGCTGAAGGAGGAGTTATTTTATGATGCAACCTCTGCTGCTACTTGCAGACTTGTGGGATCAAGTACAATTCGAACATCCAGTGGAAAGTATCAATTGTCATATGCTTGGTCAATTTGGCCTTTTGGCACCAAGAAATGAATTCAGGCAACATTCATGAGTGAGCTCGCAGGGCAACAACTGATTATTCATCGATGGAAACCATGAATGCTCTTCATACGCTTGTCGTCTGAGGCCAGTGCATAAATGCATCCTGCCACTATTGTTAAGTTCACACTCAGTCGGCCAATCTGTCACGAGCAGATAGCGGCTGTGCTGCAGATTAGAGCGAGGAAAGATTTGGACGGTTTGATTTTCCTTGTCTTTGAAGCGGTCGCACCGAGTACAGCAGGGGAGCCCGTCTCTCGCATTATGCAGGCGGCCATATAATGATGTATGGAAGCCCATTCAAAAAAAAAAAATACTGTCAGTGTATGTATCCCATATGTGCGACACGGTTATGAATTTATTATCGACACATTAGTCTACCATTTTAGTGTGCATAAGACGCGAACTTAAAACCCAATAAACTCATTTGTGCTCTTTCCTCATTGCAGTTCTTGGCCATCCAGCATCTAATTCGGTTTGCAGTATATCGTGAAAGGTCATTCAGCTTGTTGGCACAAATTATGCACCCAGAAGATGATTTCCTGCAAATATTAATATATTTCTTTTCATTTTGCTTGCTTATTAGATCTCTATCATACTAAGCCAAAAACAATCAATTCCTCCAAATATTTATATTGATTCCAATAGTTAGACGGCGTGGAGGAGGCAGACACGCCACTGCATGGTCGTGTTCTTTTTTTCCTCTGTTTCAAAGCTCTTGTTTTGCCCACTCAAGGTGACTCATTGACAAATTTCTGCAGGTTGCTGCCACACTGAAGCCATCAGGAGGCTCCGTCAAATGCCAGACCAAATCAAATGCTCGCCTTTCCCTGACGTTTCACAAATCCACCTCGCTACAACATATGGGGCACTCCAAGCTGTGACTTCCTGCAAAATGCGTTTCCACTCATCCGTCCGTCTTGAGCAGAAAAACATGATGAAAGGGGTATGTGTGTGCAATTATGAAGATTTCCTTCTCATTGTGTCCTCATTGTAGCACAAGTCCCCCGCCTAAGCCCTCTTAAGCACACTTTGCATACAATTTGTCTTGAATTTTATTATATCAGATCTGCTCCGGTTATTTTATTGTTGTGGTGAGAGTTAAGAGACAATATTTATCAAAGGAATGAGAATGCAGCTCCACAGGCGTCAAACTTGATCATGATCATCATCATCATCATCATCATCATCACCACCAGCACCACCACCTCATCAAGCTCATAGGACCAATGAATGAATTCAAAGGAGGACGGTGTGTCGTCTTCTTTTGGCGGCGTTATTAGGATGCAGCAGAGCCTGAAATTGCATATTTTACACTGGCGTCTCTTGCAAGGCAGAAATTATTGGCATAAAAGAAATGAATGTGGCACCCTTAGTACGATAAATGTGACTTGAGGTGTTCAGAAGGAATTCAATTCTGACCTGCTTGAGCCGTCAGATGCCTGCGCTGATGGTATGAAAGGAGTCTTTCGTATCAAAGAGGTTGGATCACAAAGTATAAGTACTGTAATGAGATACAGTGGCGCTTTGAGACACGAGTGACCTCACTTGCCCCCCACCAACAAGCAGTACTTTGGCACATGGTGACCGAATCTGTTGGAGATGTAATGTTATACTAAACATAAGACAAAGAAAATTACAGATGGTGTATTTAAAACAGCCACATAACTTGGCCTGAAACTCCGCTAGCTTAATGCTAACACATGATGGGAAATGCCATCATCATGTGATAGCATTAAGCGAGCTTGATCTAAATCTGGTCAGGTGAAGGAATCGCTCTTTGAAAGCAAACCCACAGTGACACGCTGACAGATGACATAAGGCATATATTCTTTATCCTCTGTGAAAAAGGACTTGATAATCCAGCTCTCTGAGTCACTTACAGTCGTTAGGATGACTGCATTATACTGCTCCCGGTGGCCATCTGAAAAATCTGCAATTAATCATAATTCAAGTTTCAATCTTTACGGTTGATTTATTTATGACAATGCTAAAAATTACATTTTAGTGTCGTCGTACTTTGTAATAGCCCATTCATTTTGGGGGTGGGGGGTGTAATGGATTGGCATTTTCATTTATTACATGTAGAAAATATAATTTAAGATGCAAGTAATTATGAAACTCTTATCCAAAGGCACCAATTAACTGTGGTTAAAAAAAAAAAAAAAAAGGAAAATAGCCCTTCTGAACCGTGGCGCTGTAATTTACACTACAAATATGTCTCTCTCTTCTTTTCCTCTCTTCTTCTACGACACTGAAAGCCAGCACAAAAAATGCAAATATCTCCTTGTGCCAGATATCACTACACGGGATGGAAAAACATCACTCAGTCAAGCTTTTGCGAAATACATTTTTTTTTTTTTAATAAACATCACATTTTCAATGATGTCAGTCGAAGCCAAGGAGACGAAATGAACCACAGGAATTCACCAAAGTGGGGATCACAGTGCAGAAATCATATTGGTGTGATGCCTTTTGGCTTCACTAAAAAGCGCGCTAACTTCCACAAACACAGATAATGTCCACAGAAGCTCTCGCCTCGGACAGATCCTTATTTTAAAAAAAAATGCGTGAGAAATATACTAAAATCAATACTTTAGTAAATGCACTGAACTTTATTATCACAGAATGAACATCATTCGCTAAAATTGATTGTCACTTCTTTCTAACCTGCAACAAAAGACATAAGTGAGTATTGGTCAAAGAACAAATATTCTCATGATGTGGCCTATGATAAATCTTTTTAAACTATATGTATATATTTCATTTTAACTTTGTACTGCTGGTTAAACCAAGCGCTACCGCTCCATAATTTTTGAGGGACATTGGTGACAGTCTGTAGACTGATTTTGGCAACGGCGTGGGAAAAAAACAAACAAACAAAACAAAAGACTTTTAGTTGAGCAAAAGTGTTGGAACCGAGAAAATAAAGTGAGTGATGATTACGTGCTCAGTGTACTCCAAATATAAAGACATTGGCCTCACTATGCCAGTTCTTTTGGAGGACAGCATATTTATATCTTTTAAGCCTGCTTTTTGCACAGTAAGCTTCCGCTTGCTTCTCAGGCCTGTGATGTTGAGCATCGGCAAAACAGCAAAGCAGTCATGGCGCACTACACTTGGTAATGATGATAAAATATTCACGGAAAACAAAATATGCATTTTAAAGGATTTCTATGTACACAATTCCAGAGGTGCAGACATTGATACTTGGTAACATTTCGTGGCACGTAACCAGTCTGGTGGTGCTGGTGTATTGTTACTGTCTGTGATGTGTGCACAGTGGATATAAATAAAGTGCACACCCTTGTTGAAATTCCAAGATAAATCCAAACTTTTTTTTTTTAAACTAGGTTGTGCACAGTTGTGCAAACACGTGTTTTCAGTGGCTTTTTTTTCTTTTTTGAAGATGAAAAAATGAATTACACAAGTTATAGGTCACAATTGAGGAAAAAAGTTTTGAATAGATTGAACTTGGACTCATTTTTTAATATCACAATAAAATGGCATTTCAAGGGTCTGTAGATTTTTTTTATATCCACTGTGTGTGTGTGTGTGTGTGTGTGTGTGTGTGTGTGTGTGTGTGTGTGTGTGTGTGTGTGTGTGTGTGTGTGTGTGTGTGTGATAGGATACCACATCTGCGCTCACTCGGACACAGAACGTCCCCATCTAGTTTTTGACCTGCATCGTCTACCCTTTGGTGTATTAGGTGAGAATAAAAAAGGATTGTGTCAATCAATTGCGGTTGATGATCACCACAGTCGCATCACTGTGTCATCATCACATCCCCGCTTACAGATTACATTGTCGTCACAGTCGTTTCTCCTTGCCGCCAGCGCGATAAAGTTGACTCGTCGAAAGTCTCAAAACCACTTTGGGCATTGTCACTAAGCAGCTGCAACAAAGTGATCGAAGTGACTCTCTCTCCTTGTCAGCCGCTCTTTGAAGCCCTCGTTCACATTAATGCCGCAGCGCTAACCAAGATAGCCTCCAAGATTCTGTCTCAACCTTGTAGGGTTTGACGACAAACGCTACAAGGTTGCCGTCTTGTACTGCTCAGGGGATCTCGCCCATTTTCAGCGCCACCAGTTCAGAGTCGTCCGAGTGGCGCCCGTTCAAGTGTTCACTGTTGCCGTCTTGGTGGTACATAAAGGGAGGGACCTCTGAAATGGAGGTGGCCGTGTACGACGTGGAGCGCATCGAGCAGTGGTCCTTTCGCCTCTGACCCCACTCGGTCTTATACTGCATCCACTGTCTCTTCAGAGCGGCTTGCACCTGCACACACGCGCGGACTTGATTTGAACAATACGGATGCAACAAAACAGAACGTTTCTCAGAGCATTTCTCAAAATCTGTACACAATGCATATTCCGCTTTTCTCCATGAGAAAATAATCTGTGTCAGGGATTGAACTTGATCAACATGGTTACTCTGGTTATCTGTGAGCCATAACTTGGGGTCTCATGGAATAATTTAAATTCAATTATTTAATATAAATAAATAAATAAACCGAAAGTGCAAAGTGATATATGAGTACCGGCACACCAATAAAACATACCAAACATGTTTATTGAATAGTAACCACAAACCAGTGTCGCAAAGTCATTTCAGAATTAAATACGATTCAAATAAAACCAAAACGTTTCCTTGCTCTTGTGCTCATTCAAAGCAATCGAGATCCTTCATAATATACAGTAGGAGTGTGCAAACCACTTTTTTTTATGCTGCCTGTGAGGCTCTCATAATGCTGTCATTTTCTGATAATGCATGAACACACTCAAGCATAAAAAAAAAAAAAAAAGGTCCAATCATAAAAATGACCAAACTAATTGTCCAAATGAGCCAAGAGAGCGGTGAGGACGTCCATGTAGAGCGTTGTTTTTGGCATCACAAAGACAGCGCGAACGCTGTTTGTCTCACTGACCTCGCACTACAAAGGCGCCATTGTGGACGTAATGCTGGTTGTGCAGTTTTGGGGGGGGAGGCGAATGGAACACAACCCAAAAAGCCCATGTCCTTATTAAGGCACTGCAATTGATCAGTTAATACAAACAAACAGTTTGATCCCATGGTGACAGTTGATGTGTTAGATCGCCCTCCTTTCGTGTGGACCCTCTCGATGCGCGTCTCTCAAACATGGTTTGCACGAGCTGTTTTGAGCATTTGAGAGGATGGGAACCTGACCTCATTTCAGACAAGAGCACAACCACTGTGTGTTTTAATTGCACATGCCGAGTACTCCAATCTGCGCCTCTCCCCTGCATGGTTCTCGACATGGAACATTGACCATTTTGTTGCGTTGTGTTCTCACAACTTGTCCATGTATGACCTCTTTTTGATTTTTTAATTGATTGGACCTTCAACAACAAATAAAGCTTCAAACCATTAACATTCAGCGTTATGGTAACACTCCATTATGAGAAAGTCGTGCGACCAATGTTTCCAACGACTGCTTGTTTACAGTGCTAATGTTAGCTTAGCATTGCCAGCACTGCTATCTTGTTGCCGTCGGATATGTTTTCTGGCGTCATCGTGACTTGCGGAGGTTAATGAAGTGAGGTGGGAATGTTGAGACGAAAGATTATTCAGCAGAAGGCTGCAATTTGTCCATTTCGTCTCTCAAATGATCTCCAGCGGTCGCTTGGCTGTTTTAACTGCTGATTTGCTGAATACAAAACAGAACAACCTGTACTCCTGACTTATTACCTGCATCCACGAACCTTTTCAACAAAACTGGGAAAAAAAATAAAATACACATTCCTAATAACATTTTTTAGTGGACAATAGTTAAAAATTTTTTTTAAAAGACTTCGTTATATTGAAGTAATATACTAATGGAAGATGAATATCACTCACCTCACCATTGAAGAAGCAGAATATGGTTGCCACCAGTAAGCCCTTCAAAACAATAGCAATGAAATATTTTACAGCACAAGTAGCCCAAAAGGATCAAAACCGTCATTGCGCTCTATGAGGTCTACGTACCTGGTAGTGCATGAAAATGTGCATGATATACTCATAGACCTCTCCCGCCAGCCTGTTCTCCGGCCTCCAGGGTAAAATGACAAATTGGATTCCCAGAAGGGGCACCAGGATCAGCGTGGCTCTCACAGCCTTCATGTACATGTTGGACTCAGCACGGTGTGTGTCTCTCAGTTTGGTGACCAGCACTCTGATGATGTTGAGCAAGAAGAAGAGATTCACCTGCAAAAGAAGAGAACATTCGGAGGATTTGTGGGAACTCACAAAATGCAAATCAATGCTGTCACATGAGCCAGCATGCATTTCTTTGTCAATGTAGTGCGACGCGGGGCTATAAATAGAACAGAGGAGACTTACAAGGAGTGCTGCCATTATAGGACCATGGACTGCATAAAGCAAATGTGTTTCCACGCTCATACAGCAGCTACAGAGAGTTAAAAGAAAAAAAAAACACTCAGTGCAGTCTGAAGTCCAAAGCGTACATGAAAAAAAAAAAACAAGCGTGTCTATATTCGTTGACAGGTTTGGTTGACAGGTTTGGTACTCACTAGTCGTCAAAAAATGTTGTTCTCGCTACAGCATGGATGGATGCAGGCACGAGTGGGAAACCTTGGAGAATGAAAAGATGGCAGGCACATGATGGCTCAAGGCAAACGCTTCTGTCATCAAGGTCACAGTAAGCAGTATGCACCTTTCATAGATCAACTCGATGGAGTTGAAGAATTCTGTGTTTATGCATGCGATGGAAAAAAAAATGAAGCATCCCTGAAAAAAACGTTCAAGCTTATTTCTATTTTTCATGTTCCAAACCCTGCAGCACGACACACTTTGCTGCGACCGTCCTCTTAAGGGAAAATGTAAACCGGGCAGTAGAGCGGAGAAAGGGCAAGCAGTTTGACGATAAATAGATACAATAAAGAAAAAACTCACACCGGCAAATAATACAATATCAGAGAGTGAGAGGACTAAAGTCTACTTGCTCTCCGTCGAATTAAAACAAAAGTTTATGAGGTTATAATTAACGTAGAATAGGTTTTACAACTGCAAAAAAAAAAATTTCTAATTAAACATTTTACTTTACAGATTAGAACCTAAGCTGGGTTTTTTTTTTTCCTTCTTCAGTTCATGATGAGCATAAATGATAGTGTGAGCCTTTTATTCACAAATGAACTGATTATATGAGTTCTCGGCAGTTTAAAAGGCAAGCAAAACTTTCCAAATCAGGCTTTTGACCTCGGAGGTTCCACTGTCCACCACGCAGTTGAAACCGTGAGCCGATCCCGAAAACTTGTTTTATTTGTTTTGAGCGGCATTTGTCAAATGAAATGAAAATAGGAGGTTGCCCGAAACGCACAGATGCCGACTCACCCCAGCCAAGGAGGTAGTACCAGTGCAAATGCTGCTCCTCTGCAAAAACAGCCACCACGATGAGCGTGTGCAGGTAGATTCCTTCACAGAGCATCCAGAAATAATTGCAACTCAGCATGTACATGTGGAAGAAGTGCAACACCTTGCAGCCTACCTGCAAAGATGGCCCACACAGGGACGTAGAAAGCATTTTATCAGGTAGTTCAACATCCTTTGATTTTTTTTTTTTTTTTTTCCTCTATGCTGCTTATCCTAAGTGTTGTGGGTTTGATGGCCAAAAAGTTCAAACCTGGTTTGATTGGGCATTAACACATCAAGTTTGTTTTTGCACAATGTAATTTTTTTTTCCAGTTGAGTTGTCCAGTTTATAGGTCACATTGGTGGAAGAAAAAAAAACAAAAAAACAATGGTCTAATGTCACTTGCGTCACAAAAACCTGGCAGTTGAATAGGGGTGTTTAGAGTTTTCCTATGCAGTGTGTATGACTTCATTAGAAGTGATCCAGCTGAGGGTTAAATGGCATATGATCACGTCAGTCTTATCTCAATGCGCTCTACCGATGCGATAATTACAGGGGGCTTATTTCTGCGAATTCACTGTTTTGATCCTATCAACTGAATGCACTGAAATCTGCCAGAAAGCTCTCGCAGACTTTGCTCAACAGTTTGTAGTGGTGCTTTTTTTTTTTTTTTAATTTATGGCTGCCGCCTCTGGTAAAACCCAAATATTAGAAATGCCTCACTGGATGTGCCATAAACATATTTTTCAATTCTCACCGGCTCACCCAAGACACCAGTAAGGATAAGCCATACACAAGTTGGACGTTTTGCGCGGTCCACTTGGAGTAAAGGTGAATTTTGCTTTGCTGACAACGCAATTAATAGCTTGTCTCGTTGTCCAAAACGGACAACAATAACTCACCCTGCTCCGCCCTTTTACACAAATGTCCTCCTCACATAATCACATTTCTGTGGCCTCCAAACAGAATGCAGATATTCCCTTCGGGGAAGCTCGTGGAATTGCAGATGAGCAAGATTTGTCTTCAGCCGCTAACGGTGTTCTGCTTTGCAAATCAAGCCGCTGTGGATCATGTAGCTCTACTCTCCTCGTGTCTGTCGGAACCCCGACCGCTTGGAAATTGCGAAGGATCTCTCGCGGCGAAGTGAGGGGAAAACGTGTGCTGCTGTAAATCAATCGTTCTAAGCCACAAGCAGAGAAAGCAGCCGGACTCATTTTAATATTTGCCCGTAGTTTGTAAATGCAAATGGGTTTGTCGGAGTCTCTCAAAACGCCGCGAGTGATTGTGTCGTATGATTCCTCTTGAAAACCGAGATCATACTTCACGCATTCAATGCTTTTGAATAATGGCAAAGAGGTTTTTGAACCGGTGCTCGTCCTCCTGCCGTTGAAGTGATCCGAAGTGCTTCCAGTATTTTTAGAAAAAAACATTGCGACTAAAGATATGATGACATTGCAGCAGCAGGTTTTTGTATCAAACCCAGATGTCAGGTTGTTTGTCTTTTGTCCGGCCAAAGATTCTGTGCCGGGTAACGGCGGTGCGGTGGCTGAGATTCAACTCCAAAAAAATCCCATTCCTCCCGCCTACCTCTCCCATCTGAATTCAAGTCTCGGGCAGAGTTTTACTATTATTGATGATTTTAATCATTGTTAATATTATGAACGACACAAAAGCCATTACAAAAAAAAAAATCAGTTTGGGATGGCAGGAAAAAGAAAAGGGAAGATGATTTGCTGAGCTGACGAACATCTTTTACTTATTCCAAACAGGATTAGTTCTTAAAAGGTTTATTTATGTTCTGCCATGGTAGTGAGGCATTCCTGCGAGACAGATTTATCAGCAAGTACTAAGACGATTTTGGAGATTTGAATAACTCACAAACAATGTACCGGCGATCCCCCCCCCCCCGCCCCCAAAAAAGAGTCCAATGATACGCAGCCAAAAATGTCACCCATAGGGGGCGAGAAATAAGTCATTCTAAATATAGACCAACTACTCTGCTACCGTATCATCGTATGATTTGCCTCGAACATATACAATTTCGATCATTTGCCTTTGATATAAAAAGTCTACACGCCCCTGTTTCAATGCCAGAGACTCCAAATTGCCCATTGTCATGAGTGCAAGTGTGAATGGTTGCGTGCTGAGGATTGGCTAGAAACCAGTCCAGCATTCCCTTCTCCTTTTTTGCCTAAAATCGTCTGGGATAAGCTCCAGTTAGCCACGACCGCCACGGTAATGAGGACTGGCAGTCCAGAAAATGGACGGATGGTTTTATCGCATCATTTTTCTTTCGAGCATGAATAATGAATACGTTGCGCCTAATTTCCCACGGTGGAAATAATCTTCCTTATAGACAATGGCATCCGTGTATTGAAACGGTACTGTTGGAAACGCGCCAGCGCAAACATTTCATTGTGCTGCCTGACAATATTGGATACATGGTGAAACTCACAGGATTTCTGCCCACTACTTGAGGATTGTTGACGACGGCGACGAGGTAGAGGATGGTCAGGGCAGAATTGAGCACGTAGGAGCAGAAAAGGTTCTTGTGCAGCGTGATCCTTTGGCAGCTCAGACTCCTCCGTGATGAAACGATCGGGACGGATAGGTGAGCGTGGTGACATTTAAGAAACAGCGTTATGCAATTGGCAGCGAATCCCATGACAGCGATGCAATCTGATCCAAACCCAAAGCAGTCGATGAATGCCAAGAGATGTCATTTGAACAAGAACCGTTGCCACCAGTCCAAATTCACTCATTCAGCACCAGCCAATGCTAGACCAAGTCTGAAAAGACGTTTAAAAACGTCTTTGGGAGTGAATGAGTTAACAGCCTTGTCAAAATTTGAACTTATGCGATGTATTATTTGCCAAATAGCCTCCTGCAGGCCTAAATATATTGTTTGTATTGAAGCAACCGCTGTGTATGTCTTAGACTGGATATTTATGTCGATCTTTGGGAAGCACGTAGAGAGAGGGGTGGTTGTGCGCCTTGTGACAAAATGGCTACCGAAGACACCTGACATTGACGATGTACGTGTTTGGCAAACCGAACGCAGCTTCAGCCCTGCGCATTCCCATCTAAGCCTCACATCTGGATCCTCTCACGTCATACTTGAAAGGATTCTGCTCTAAAGAAAAGCTGAAGTGAGAAGAAAGCAGAAACGGGCCCAGATCCAACTTGTCAGGTTGATTCATTTTCCCGACGAACCGCGGTCCTGCTTCTGACTCAGATATGAATGATGGTTTTGAAAGTTTTGTAGCACGGCGAGGGCGTCGGGCGAGATCCAGACTCCACATCCCCCGCTTTTAAAAATGGCAACAAGCAGTTTACAAGCACAGAGTTCAATAATAGTCGGGCCAATGGAGAGCTATTACGAATGTATTGAACAACCAAAGGAACCCTGGTGGCCATGAAATTAAGTAGCTCGATAAAATGAAGTGCCGCCAGTAAAGCGGCATGTGATTTGGGTCAGCTAAAATTAACAATCACCAAACTCCTCTGTGAGACATCAATGAAACATAATCTACATGGTAGTAGATGAATATAAAAGACACTGGCGGCAAAAGAAGTCACATCCTTCCGAGGAAAAGCCACGAGCGAGCGGGCGTCTGAGATCAAAGCTCTGATTATCATCTCAGCATGATGACAAATTGTGTCTCGATAATGTCACACCAGTCGGTACAGATGTGATATTAGAAAGGGAGGTCAGGAAAGTCGCGGTACCTGAAGTAGAAGAAGATGGCCAAGGAGATGAGCAGGGAGGCTATGGATAGGGCATGACCCACAATAGCCATGTAAAACAGGATGTACGCAGACTGGAAACAAACAACACAAAACAAATAAGATTTAATATTCGGAAAAGATTGACGAAAAGCGCAAATCGCTTTTGGTCGTCATTTTCAGACAACCCAACTGTAGCGATGTAAAGGCAAAAAAAAAGGAGGTCTCACAGACAGACCTCCATATTTTAAAATAATATACTGCGACACGTTTGCCGCTGAAAAAAAAAAAGGGACCTTCAATGTCATTTTATTTAGTGTGGCCTTCATTTTCCTAACTAGTGTTGATGCTATCAAAATTAATTTCCATAGCTTTGCTTGTGTTCTGACGCGACAAACAAAAGAAAAAAAAATGCTTATTGGCTTTCGATTTAAATTAGGTCGCTGAAGAAAAAAATACATCTGACTTGGGAATTCTTTTCAGATTAGAAGGATAGTTTGGGAACGCTAACACTTTTTTTTTTTTTTTATCCTGGCAGAAAACACAGCGCATTCCCCACAAATCATTCTTGCAGCTGACAACATCAACAAATTCTCAAAAATAAGACCCTGGGCTGGGAAATATTGTGCTTTTCGGAATCTGTTGCATCACTGTCGTTAATGGTCCCCGATTCACGTGTCTCAATGCTGTCCCCAAGATCTGACTCAATTGATTAAGATCTGAATCACTGCTGACCGCTTTTTTCATCATCATGATCCCCCGAGGTTAAAAAAAAAAAGAATACATGAATCCTATTTTGACAAAGCAGTACAAAGTGCAGATCTGTTTTCAAACGTGTGCTGCAAAACGTCAGGAAAAAAAAAAACAAAAGTCCAATTATAAAAGGGCAATTAAAGTTACCGAAATATGATCACAAAAACAATCTTTGCTAATTGTTCACAATATCAGTGTTACCTTCAACTTTGCTTTCGTGTTTTCATTGCAGGGTGTGTAGTTTGACCAGGTTCTGTTGTTGTCAGGGTGGCGAAACCACTGCCCATCATCCCCACAGTACTTGGTTGCCTTTTCTGCACATACAGTACACACAATGTATATATTTTCCATACAGACTTACTCTGACAATTACCGAAACTGGCATACTGCTTACCTGTAGGGTCAAAGTCAACAAAATAATCTGGGCAGTTTTGGGACGCGTAGGTTCCTGCCGGTGTATCCCCCCAGCACAACCAGCCATCCCAGGTGCGACTGCAGTACACTTCTGATTCACCAAAGAGAGAGAGGGGGCGAGCGGGGACCCAAACTTGATTTAGGATTATTCATTGGCGACCAACGTGGAGAGAAAGTGAAGTCATTACTTGATTTGTTATAAGGAGGGTCGTTCTTCATTTTTTCAAAGCATTTGTACTGGCTGTCAAGGACTTGATTCCTCCAGGGGGCCTGTTCCTCCGGGTCCACCACAGTGGCCTTGTCACCAAAGTCTTGCTCCGTGTCACCTGAGAGCTGTGCACTCGCCCCCTTACGTGGTCACACATATGTACACACAAAGGCTATAATCGTCCAATCAATATTAACTAACCCTTTCGTGCACCCTGTAACTTGATAACATGATAAGCTGTCCACTTGTAGCAAGAGCTGTCCCTGAAAGGATTATTAACCTCAGTTATACTTGTCACTCATCCAGATCATTTTTTTTTTTCCCCATCATGCTCGGGTCATTAAATAGATTAATCTGCTCCGATTGTCAAACTCATTTTAGTTACCGGTTCCCTTGGAGGGTCGTTATGACTATGAAACCATATGAAGAAGTCAAGAATAACGGTTTATTCAACGATAGTTTAAGTTGCTGTCACGAGGGTTTTGGTAACAAGAAAACTTCCAATAGTTCTCTTATATATATTACATCTGAGAATTTAAAATGTTGGCACAAATTTTGGGAAGCATCATAGAAGTCGACATGTTTGATTTGCTTTCGCGGGCCACGTCAAATGATGTGGTGGGCCAGATCTGGCCCCCGAGCCTTGAGTTTGACGCCGTGTCTTAGAAGCTGTTTCGACTCTCATCCTCGCCGGTTTCAGTTCATGCCAGTAGACTATAAAGCACAATAGTCTTGTACGCTTCAAACCTGCTAGCATCCTGAGACAAAGGCAAGTACACCCCAAAGACTGGACACCCAATACACAGGGAAAAAAAAAACAATCTGTTGTATGCTGTCGAGTGCTGTGACGAAGGGACTCAAGTATGGACGGCAGAAACCAAACCATTAAGCAGACGCATGTCACAACACAGACGGTCTACAGCTTCAGGTCCAGACTCGGCTGGCTAACTGACCCTCAAAGAAAAACTGAACTCTTTTTGAGGACATAAGTATCCGTTTTCTGGGCAGAGAAGACAAATGGTTTGAAAGATGAATGAGAGAAACAATCTGCATTAAGGTTGACACTACCTGTCTCCCACATACAATGCCATCCTTTCAATCGTATGCAGAGAGACTCCATAATTTAGTCTCGAATAAATAACACAATAGCCGCTTTTGGCCTTCAGGTGCCTCCACAAGCAATTGGAAAATTAACGAGGCTCATTCCACCGAAATGACGGTTGTCGCTTGGCAGAGTTTCTTTTCAACGCATCTTTAACGACTGCATCCCAAAGAGTGCTGCCATTTGTAGTTTTGAGTGTGCCTCTATCTAATGGGGTCAAAAGTTGGCTTTCCACACAAATGCTCTGGCTGGAGCTGTCCTATCGAGCCTGTTGCATGAACTGATGAAGCCCGCTGGGACGAGAGTCAGTGTCTTTTAAGACGGCTCCAATAGTCCAGTTGCGATCGATTTAATTCCCTGAGAACCTCAGTTACAAAGAAACTTTTATAGTACGCACACTAATTATCTGATACCAAAAAAAAAAAAAAATCACCTCCAGCTTTTCCTGAATGTCGACGGCACAGAGTGTAAAGTTGGTCCATGTGATATTAGACTCTGGGTGGCGATACCATTGCCCATCCTCTCCGCAGTACTTGCTCACCTTTTCTAAAGAGAGCACAGTGATGCATTAAACATGTCACACCGTGTACTGAAATCCTAAATTGAAAGAATTGCCCTCAGGTTATACGATTCAGAATGCAAACAACTTTTTTGGGGGGCAAAATACTGTATGCCTCTAAAAGTCTGCAAGATATCTAACCTTGCCTGTCCCTCTGATGAGTTCATTTCTAATCTCATCCTCCCTGGTCAGTCCTAAAGAGAGCTTCAACATCTTCATCTCCGCCTTCCATCTCTTCAGTGCTACAGTCTCTCTCCTTTTCGTTCATCCGAGCGGAGAATCTTCTATTGCACACACCGGACACTTTCCTCCGCCTGTTCTAACCTGCTTGGATCTATTTCTTGATATCAGGAAACTTAAAAAAAACCCTCAGCCTGCCAATTCAACATTATGAGGACTTGGAAACAGGGGTGAATAATTGTGTGTGTGTGTGTGTGTGTGTGTGTGTGTGTGTGTGTGTGTGTGTGTATATATATATATATATTTTTAATGCCAGTGCAAAATAAAATCGTTTTGCTGACCTGTGGGTTCTGCATACGACAAGTAATCTGGACAATTCTGGGTGGCGTAGGTTCCTGCGACGGTATCGTCCCAGCACAGCCAGCCATCCCAGTTCCGACTGCAGTACGGTCCTGCAGCAGCAAAAAAAAACAAAACAAAACAAAACAAAACAAAATAAACAAACATGTAATTTGTGTTCCATTCATGATAACAAACGACTCATTAAATGATGGCGTTTCAGCAGCTCGTTACCCGATTCATTGAAGGCGGGGTCTTGCCTCATTTTCAGGAGACATTTGTATTCACTCTCAAGTAGCTTCTGCTTCTGTTGGATTCAAAATAAAGGCACACATCTTTCAAAAAAAAAGTATGATGAATTCCTCTGGGGCTATTTTTGTTCATTTACAAAGCTCGGGGAATCAATAGCTCCCTGTAAACGTGCAGATAAAAGCAAAGGCACTTAGATTTAACATTGTCGTCCCTGACAGGAAACATGACGTCAAAGTCAATGAACAAAAGAAAAAAACAAAAAAAAGACTACAAAAATCAATTTCCTCGTCTAACCATGGTGGCGGGAGACGATGCATTTCCTCAAACTAGACTTTATTATTTCTTGTGGAATGAAAGGAAAATGTATTTGCACGACAATAGATATGTCTGCTACGTGCTTAGAATCCAAATGGACCTTGACCTACTACCGCTAAGTAGATGCCGCTCTCATTTAATGGGCTTTATAACCGTGTCCTGTCCTCGCACGTTGTGCAGTGACACCTTGGTTTTGCATGAGCAGCGGTGATCTTGAACGAATCCACGGTATAAAATGAGCAAGACATCACCCTGGTCGTCTTCTCATCGTTGCTCGTGCAGAGGGTGTAGTTGGTCCAAAATCTGTCGCTCCCTGGATGACGAAACCACTCTCCGTCCTCGCCGCAGTATTTACTTGCCAGGCCTTAAGATGAAAAACAAATTTGAAACACAAGACATTTCATAGCTGCATAATATTGACGTTTGTTTCTGAGTAGGAAGACAAGACTTACCGTATTTTCCGGACTATAAGTCGCAGTTTTTTTCATAGTTTGTGTGAAATTATTAACACATGATTGTCATTTCACGTTATTTTCACATTAAACCACAAGAGGGCGCTCTCGGCCTGTTTTGATAAATCGACGATGAGTCTGACTTAAGCGACGTAGAAGAGGAAGCAGCGCATCGTCTACCTCCCGAGTTGGGGGAGTTGTTTAAAAGTGACACTGAGGATGAAGATTTCATTGGATTTAGTGATTTGGAGTGAAACTGATAGTTTGGTAAACTTGTTAGCATGTTCTTTATGCTAGAGTTATCTGAATAATTCTTAATATGTTTCGTCGTTACAGATATTACCAGGCATGTCAGTCATGTAACGTTAGTATACCGTACACTTATTCAGCCTGTTGTTCTCGGTTTTATTTTTATTTTAAATTGCCTTTCAAGATGACATTTATGTTTTTGGTGTTGGATTTTATCAAATAAATTTCCCCCGCAAAATGCGACTTATACTCCAGTGCGATGTTTTTTCCTTCTTAATTATGCATTTTTTGGCTGGTGCGACTTATAATCGGGAGCGACGTATAATCCGAAAAATGCGGTAAAATGTAACGTCAAATGTTTACCCGAGGGTTCAAAGTTGAGAAAATAATCCGGGCAGTTCTGCGTGGCAAAGGTTCGTGCCGGGGTGTCACCCCAACAAAGCCAACCGTCCCAAATATGGCTGCAGAACAACCCTGTCGCATTCGGAGCACTGACGTCAAAACTCCATTCTGGAGACATTGATTGCATGATTACATACGCGACGATTACATCACCGATACCTGTTTCATTACGAGGTGAAGCTTGTTCAATCTCCTTGAGGCATTTTTCTTTGTTCTCTAGTATTTTCTTTTCGACGTTTCTGGTATGTTCTATCGATGGTTCATCTTTCACGTCCTTGAAACCATCGTAAACGTCCTGCTGACACAAACAAGATAAAGAGTTTTTCGCAAGTCTTCACAGGATGGTAGGGGGGGACGCATCTTTCAGTACTTTGAACCCTTACGACTTGTGTGCAGGCACCTTGGTTTTGTCCTTTGAGGCTTCTTGGCAAGTGGATCCAGTTTGTACCCATTTACCCCTTTGGTCGCAATATTTAGTCATGTATCCTGCAAATTGAGACAAATAAGAACGGGGTGATTACTGACATTGTCGAGCATTTATGAACAGCTACGTGACCACTGCAGTTGCTCCCCCAACTGAAGCATGTTGAGAGTTAGTTTACAGATCAGCTGCCGGCCTTTGGCTACTCTTAGAAACTGTTGGGGGGAAAGTGGCCTTATTTCCTCCGCGTGTTCGTTGAATTTCGGACGGTGAGGATGTTGGTTATCCAAATACAGGCCGGAGACGATGAACAGTACCTTCGAAGGTTTGATTTTTCTTTTCTGCAGTTTACGAATCGATTCGGGCTCCTGAGAGTTTCAGATTTCGTCAGGAAGCCCAGAAAAAATGCAGTCATGAGAATATATAGAGACAATAGGATAATGAGAGGCGGGGAGTTACGCCTCCATGCAAATCCCGGAAACAAAGAAAGGTCGATGCAATTCGATCTTGGCATGTTGGGAAAGTACAGACCTCTAACGCTGTGCGTAAATCTTGAGATAAGAGTCCCTCCCCGGGGGAACTTGACAGCCTTCGGGGACTCTCCCGAGGTGGGGGTCAAGGGGCACTAAAGGTGATTCTAATCACACTAAGCTGGAAATACCTTCAACAGCATTCTACATTCTTTGTTTCAAGTGTTTGAACAGAACCAACAACAGAGAGGGCCTAAAAAAAAATCACAGTAAGGAATAAAATTCCTGAACAAAACACATCCAAATTTGTGCTGCTCGGTCGAAAAATGGAGCTCAATCGGATGAATTCCAGTTTATTGGAACCGATGTGAGAATTCTTACCAGCGGGATGGTGACTGGGACATCTCTGTGTTCGAGATGTACCTGCTGGTGCTTCTTCCCAGCACAAAAAGCCATCCCACATTTTTCCGCAGAAGGTGCCCACTAAAGAGAAAAACCAAAAGTTTAGGGTTTAGCTTTGGTAAATGCACTCCACTCATGTCAGCAGGTCCCTTTCTAGTGCCATTTGAGTGGGGTGTTGGTGGGGGGTGGGGGGCGGGCATAGTACGGCCTGCTTATCATGTGTAATCATTGAAATCGGAATTTATTTATTTATTTATTTTTTAATGTTGATTATGGCAATGTTAAAAAAAAAACATTTAAAAAGCAGTAAAGTGAACAGTGGTTAAGCTTGACGTAGCAGTTCATTTGGGCCTCTCACCGGTTCTGTTTTGTTGACTGTCTTTGTTGGACACATTAAGACATCTGTATTGACTTTGTCTCGCCTCTTCCCATCTCTCTTTGCTCATTCTCGGTGTAAGTGATGATTCTGGAGCGGACTCGGTGCCAGCCGACACCTTGCACTGTCGGGAGAAAAGGGAGCAGTAGTGAGAGCGAGGAGAATGAAAGCACGTCCTCGTAGGATCCGTGTCGATATGTAAATGATAGCCGTAATGATGTTATCTAGCTGTGTCAATTTCACACCTCTATGATAATGAGATGATGTTTGTTCTTCTGTCGTCTAAAGATTCAAATGGGATGTTTCAAAGCGGATTGAAGGACTTCCCCGCTTTGAAACTTTCATCATTCCCCATTGATGACATTCATCCATAATATGTTTGCCAAAGAAACCACTTTCCTTCAAAGGGTTCTCATCTTGGCCTGCATTGTTTGCATTTGGAGGTAGCAAGAGATGAAAAAGCCTGCAGGGCGTACGACTGATTTTGATAATGGAGCTCACTGAAGGGGGGGGGGAGCCATTTTGTTGTGACTTGCAAAATTCAGTCTGAAGAAAAAAAAACCCAAAAAAACGCAAAAGTTTCTTCAACAACTCATCTCAAACATTTCTTTTCTCTCTCATAGTTCAGAAATGTAAAGACTTTGCCAGCCAGTCTCCACATCCCTTATCACAATAGGGACATGCAGCTTCGTTATCTTTTGGGTGGCTATTCATGTGGCGCTTGGATTCCGATTCTTGTGAGCGTTGAGCAAAGCTGACACTTGTGCGCCGACGTCCCATGTAGCAGTTTAGCAGCCGTACATATGATGTCACTCCAATCATTGAAGTAAATGACGTCATACATACGACCACCAGGCCACCACCAAAATCAGCTGAAGCATCGGCTGGGAGGGAAATGTCCCAAGGATTCTTTTTACCCAATGAAATAAAGACACTAAAACTTCAAATGCAAGCACTTCCAGCCTAACAAAAAAATTAACGTAGCAAACTTAATCGAATGCAGATGACACAATTCTGGATGGGCGCCCTTTACTTCAACCTCGCGATTCTGGAAGCAACCTCATTCAAGTGTGAACCAAATATTTTATTTTGCTCTTCCGAAAAGACAGACAGACACACATACACACACAGCATGTTACATAATTCCACCGCTCCCTTTTTTCCCCCCAAATTGTTTTACGTCACACTTTAAGATTTAAAATTGGCAGCATCGTGACCTTGTGCTTCAGTTCAGTTGGAAAGAAAAAGAAAAAAATTGTAATTTGGTCTCAAATGAAACAATGTGAGATATAAATACCCTGATGTGACCGATAAATTATATTCGGTCAAAGTTAAAAATAAGGACCATTGACAAACACATGCACTCTTGTTTCGCAACATGTTTTAATCTAGTGTATCATGATTAAATGTTCGGGTTGAGTGAATACTGATGATCCGAAAGAGTCACTAACTAGCCCACAACGTGTTACATGTGTAAGGAAAACTGTTTTTTCAATGCTAAGACATTGTCTGCATCCAATACTCATTTATACATACCACTAAGAGACAGCAAAGGATCCAAGGGCAGCAAACGGCTAATTTCATATCTTCCCCTCCGATGTCTGTAACAGGACAAAGAAGGACAATTGCAATATTCATCAACCTGCTCGTGAACCGTGAAAGTGACTGACTGAGCAAACATAATGTTGTTTCAGATCAGGATTATGGCCTCTCGGGAAAATAGCATCACTGGGAATCATTAATCTGAAATGCAAAGCGGCGGGGTCGGCGGCCTGCAGTGTTTGCGAGACAAAGACAAAGCCATTGTTAAATGTAGAGTCAATGGAGGTAGCGCAAACAGCGACGACCGTGTTGTGAGCACGTGGTTGCAAATTATTTGGTGCTGGGCTTCGGCGGTTCCGCCAGTTTCAGCGGATAGCACTCGTTTCTCCGTGTCGCGCAGATTCACGACAGGAAGCCCATCCGTCAACTGTGAGGGGAGCAGTTAAGACGATCGGGGGGCAGGCGTGTGGGGGGTGTATCAGTTGTCAATGGCGACCCACCAGGCTGCCTTTTCAGCATGGACAACTTCTTGTAAGTCACCGTGAAAAGGCCACGACCGAGAATGTTTTTGGATGGAAGCCTCTCGGTCATAATAAAGCACTTAGGATGACAAAGGAAAGACCTCCACCAAGGTCCCTGACTTTTTTTTTTTTTTTTAAATGTTCCATTTCCAGCCCCCGCGCCCACCCTGAGTATAAAAGGGTTTGGCCTTGGCAGGTGAATGATGTGAAAACCTTTTTTTCTGAACAGATTGCTTATCAAATCTTGAAGTAAGTAAAGTGGAGGCTTATTGACAGAGAGGTCCGGAGAGGAAATCTCACTTTTGTAATCCATCCATCCATTTTCCGATCCGCTTTATCCTCACAAGGGTCACATGGGGTGCTGGAGCCTATCCCAGCCATCTTCGGGCAGTAGGCGGGGGACACCCTGAACCGGTTGCAAGCCAATCGCAGGGCACACAGAGACAAACAACCATCCGCGCTCACACTCACACCTCGGGACAATTTTGAGTGTTCAACCAGCCTGCCGTGCGTGTTTTTGGAATGTGGGAGGGAACCGGAGCACCGGAGAAAACCCACGCAGGCCCTGGGAGAACATCCAAACTCCACACACGAAGGCCGGAGCCGGTATCGAAACCACGACCTCTGCACTGTGAGGTCAACGCGCTAACCACTGGAACACCGGGCCGCCCAATTATGTCATCCCTTATTTATAATGGCCTCACATACCACATAAACGAACAAAGAAAGCATTACAATTCTGTCTTTGCAAATTAAAGTTGTCCCTGAGATCTAATGGACAAACCAACTCTTCAAACCTGGGTGAGTGAGGTTCTGCCTCAAGATGAGCAAGGGACGCATCAGAGCGTGAAATTGGACAGCCTAATTGGGAAGAGCTGAGCCCAAAGGTGAAGCTGATATTTTTACCAGCCAATACACGGACATCCCTGCTCTCACCTAGAGTGACAAATCGGGTGGTGACTGTGAACGCGCAGTCAGAAATGTGTTTTGGCCCTTAGAGACGGGCTGAGGTGGAAGTCGGCGAAGGTGGTTCAGGCATCTTTTATGCATTGCTCCTGGCGCGTGCTCGGGGGAAGTGAGAGCAGACCTTGGGGTAACCGAGGACACGGTGGAGGGACGATGTCTCTCATCCGCCCTCGGAATACCTTAGTGTCCACTGTGGTGATAACTGAAGGTGGAGTTCTGGTTCCGAGCATGATGCCTTCGAGGGTCTGCCAGAGATACATATGTTGTTGTTGTTGTACGATATGACGTGGCGATAGTCCAGGGTTGGATGTGAATAGAAAGATGAATCACAAGGCAGACTCATGAGACCTCACGGGACCATCGATGATGCATTAAAGGCAACTTACAGCTCGAGGCCGGGCATTTGTTCGAAAAGTGGCAGATATAACTGAGGATGACAACGAGAGAGTGCTTTGATGTAATCAGACGTTGACTTCAAAGACAGTTGTGCCGTCATTGTCGACTCCATGAAGGTTGTCTTAGAATTCCCGGAAAAGTAGAAGATTCGGGTGATTCGATAGCATTGATCTTTTCCGGATCGAAGAAAATGTCGCTGTTAGGATTTAAGAATCCGGGAGCATTTCTGTAATGACTCGCTCTCGGTCCATCCATAATTAATTTGGCTGGCTGTGTGACACTTAAGCCAAGATGGTCCTCTGTGATGGACCGCACCACCGCATGACTCTTCTCTCTTCCATACGTCTTTAGCCCTGACCTCATACCACTTTGTCCCAGTGCGGTACGCATCGGGGGAAAAAAATGTGAGGTCATGCATTTAGGAGGACATATCGGAGTTTGAACTCTTTCATTCCACAAGACGTACTTGTACGTCTTTTTAAAATTAGGCCCCGCCTACCAAGGACGTACTTGTACGTCTCAGTCTTTTTTTTGCGTCATAGAGAGGAGGAGGGTCTGATGCAATCTGTGAATGAGAATAAGCCGTTTGCATTTTAAATTGTGTAAAAAAAGCGACCAGTAGGTGGCAGTGGTGCCTCACGTGCTTGAAATGCATGCTTTCACAAAAAGCTCTTTTTCTACGTTTTTTGCCCAGGAAACGCCATTTTCATGAAAATTAGCCATTTTGTAATGCCGATTGCTGAAGAATGGAAAAAGATAAGTTAAGCATAGCAAGGTTATTGTAGTTGATCGAACCGAATGAAATAACTAAAATTCATGCTTGGACTTGCTTGGAGTCTAGGCTATTTAATATTCATCGAGAGATCATCGATACAGAGCAAAGCTGCATCAATACATTTTCATCTTTTTTACTCCATCTCTTCGGTCGTGCTGATCAAAGCAGACATGGTCACTCGTGCGTTTTATTTCTACTGGCAGTATAGAATGCGCCGACATGCGCCGCGACGGACCCATTTGTATTACCGATGCGGCACGGTCTCACATTCTCTGCCCCATCAGTCTGGATAAAGTCATGTGACACCACTTTTCCAGGCTCTGACGAAGGGGTACAATTGAGGAGCGCTCAGATTAGTTTGATGAGTGAATGAACATTGACAGATTGCAGTTGTCACCCAGCCGCATGCCGAATGACTTGCGTGTTCGAGCCGGCCCCTTCACGCTGTACTGTATTGACTGAAGAGCGCCTCAGAGTGACAAGTACATTTTGTAAATGTTCTCTATGACTCAATTGGATGGTATGAAACACGCCGTTGCAGAGAAAAGGCTCAGTTAAACAGGTTTTTTTCATGCATCAATCAAATATTCAAAACGACCTATCATCAACGGAAGCAATGTGTTTGGGTGAGGCGAACTCACTTTGACATCTGGTGTTTTTGTTTCTTGTCTTCTAATGTATCTTACTCAAAGGCTAAGCAGTAGCGACTCTGCATTCGGGGCAGAGGAGGCAGTGCCCCACCAGGAGCAGTTCTGCTTGTTTATGTTGCAATGCCTATTTGTGGAGTCTTGAATTGTCTTGAGTAGTTTTGTTCGTCTTCTTTCCCTCGGTCTCTTGTTCATTTCCTGTGTACTCGCAACTTTTTTTTTTTTGTCGAGTCACCCGCCCTTGTCACATCCTCTTGCCTGTTGTGGTGAGTCTTTGCCCCTCGTGTCCCCAAGTAAACGTCCTTGGTATTTGTTGTTTACTATCGATCCTGCCGCTCCGCAACTTCTTGTTTCTGTCTTGTGAGAATAAATTATTTTTGGGCACGCCTTGCCTCCCCCACCGCTTCGCTGCACTCGAGTCCTCCGTCTTGTAAAGCCGTGACAATGAATTCTCCTTCCGATAACTGTAGGCTAATAAGTACTGCAATGTCTGAAAGAAAGTTTCCAGCAGCTGTCAAGTCAAGGCTGACCAGCGAAGGCTTATTTCCAGGGAGTACAACACGGTGATGAATAAACATGAGACTGTACCGTTTTCTGTACGAATTGAGTGGACAGTCATCTCCTCCAGCCTAATGCAACTCATTTCCCAGTAGATCGCTCGCTCCCATGCCATTTGAAATGAAAAGCTACTGCTCATGCTTTATTTCTTATCCTGCTTTAGGGCACTGTAAAGGAAAACATTTTCTTCCTGCATTTTGAGCATCCTCCAAGCCTGTCGTTTATTCTCTGGTGAGCACCGAAGAGTGGTTGGAAGCGGTGAAGCAGAAGAGCATTGTTCGCTTTTGTGTTCCAGATGCTCAAAATGAGCCTCTTGTGATGAACGGACTCTCTTTGGTGGCAAAGTAAACACTTGATTTATACCTCCTGTTTAAAAAAAAAAAAAAAGTAAAGACAGACAGAGCGTTTGGGGTTTTAAGAGGGATTAAAGGGAAAGACATGGACGTAGTACAGAAACATTCTTATGGTTATCTGCTGGGACCTCATTCGGATCCATTAGTAAAACGTCCCTGCTGGTGTTGGGCCTTTTTTCTGACTTCATCTGTCAGTCTGACTGTCATCGAGCAATTTCAGATCATTCCGAGCCTACTGTGCATCCAAAGACAGGCTAATGTGCGTCATCTCCCCAATTTGAGCACGTTCCCAAGCCACACGCCGATAAATCAGCTTTAAGTGTGCTCATTTATCATGTGTGCAACAAGCCAAAGTGAACATGCCCGTTCTCTCGTTTGTGTAGCGCGCTATAAGCCGGTCGAAATGACGGGAGGGACGTGTCTTGCACACTACGCTGTGTGGGGTTTATGATATCACAACTGAAAGCTCGCCCGATACCGCTGCTTCTCAGACAGCACAAATCGATCACGTTGCGAACCTCTCTCGGTGTCACGCTTAAGAGCGATGATGTGGGTCACAAGTCAAGGAAAGAAGCAGATGTCTTTAAAAAGGAAAGGGGGGAAAAAATCACTTGCTTTTTCGGGTTTAAGAAATGATTACTCGTGTCAGGGGTTGAAAGATATTGTAAATAATCGTCTGTCAAAGCTTCATGAGGGATTTATTGGCCAGGTGGAAGAAGCTGAGGCAATTTATCCGGTGACAATTTGAAACCGAGTATGACTGAGTGCTTTGACGGAGTCAATCAGGAAGAGGGACTGTACCGCGGATAAACTGCCAAAAGCAAGTCCATCTTAGACTGGTTT